ARCCCTACAACCCCCTTCACTTATCCTTCCTWGCCTTGCCTCACTTTAATTCTTATGGCAGCCTAAGTTCCTGTGTCAACAGCTGATCATCTATAGTCTCCTCCTGGCTCTCGTCTTTGAACCAATGGAAGATAAGTCTCTCTCCTTCTACGGTCGCGACTTTGCCTTGGGCTAGCACCCTTTTCTGGAATTTGGGTAAGGTATCCTTTGCCCTTTCTGGGTTAAGAGCCACTTGCTTCTTTGTCTTTCTCCATAACGCCCTAATCTCAGTCTCCAACAGGCTCTGATTGTGACTTTTCTGAGTTTGACGAACTCGGCTTTTTCTTTACCTGGGCATCTGACCCTGAGGTCCGGATTTGGGGTCTGCATCGTGGAAGGCCTTTCACTAGTGTCATAGAGGCAGTTGGTTCCATTCTTTCTCTAGCTACTCTTTGACTTTGGCTTTGAAATTCATGGATAATTCCACGAACATCTCGTAATCTGGACACTGTTCTAAATTGAGCTCCACTACCTTAATGCACATTTATTTTGCCAATTTCATTATTTTTTCAATCGCCCATACACATTAAATGATTTATTTATCGTCTGGCTTTTCGATTTATTGCAAGAAAGATGTGCACACACACACACACACACACACACACACACACACACACACACACACACACACACACACACACAGAGGGAATCGGAGAAGGGAAGCACAAAGCTGACGGGACAAGTGGAACAAGCGGCAGGTAAGGAAGAAAATTGGAAGAATCTGAAGCCTGCACGAACAAAAAAAAACAATTCGAATTCTTTTTTCTTTTTTCTTTTTTTCTTTTTCCTTCTCTTTTTGTTTTTCGTTTTTTGTTTTTTGTTTTTTCGTTCTTCGTTGCTGGCATGTTACGGGTGTACTGGGAGTGTCACTACAGGATGGCCACCTTATGAGCTAGATTTGTAGCAACCAATATTGGTTATGGGCCGCACCATGCAACAATTAAGTGACAAGACACGGCCTGCCTTTTGAAAAATTCAAGTAGGAGACAAAATAGCTGGTAGACATGGAAATAAGGGAGTCATTTCAAGAATATTACCTAGAGAAGATATGCCTTATACTCAAGATGGTACTCCTATAGATATGGTATTAAGTCCATTAGGAGTTCCCTCAAGAATGAATTTAGGACAGATATTCGAATGTTTATTAGGCTTAGCTGGAGAATCTTTAAAAAAACACTATAGAATTATGCCTTTCGATGAGAGACATGAACGAGAAGCTTCTAGGAAACTGGCATTTTCAGAACTATATCAAGCTAAAAAATTGACAGGTCATAATTGGATTTTTGAACCAGACAGCGAGCATAACTCATGGACGGGAACGAAAAGGATCGGATCCTGTGAAGCATAAAAAAATAGCGTACGGAATAAAATAGACTCCATATTATGAGTCGTAATATGTTCTTTCCTTCTTTTTGTTTCATTTTTGCTGAAACAAATAAAGCAGAAGGATACCGGAGATTATACGGGAATTTACACGTGTGTTTTACCTTTCTTTTTTTTCTTTTTTTCTTTTTCTTTTTTCTTTTGATTGATCATTTCCCCTTTTTTTCGCTCCAGCTTTTTCGGCGCTGAACAAGTTGGTGCCATCAGAAAGGCTTGGATATTGACGAACAGTATAGAGTTTTTAGCATTAGGATCCTCAAATTGTCTCCCATCTCAATTTCAGTACGCATGCGCTCTGTTTGGCCAAGGGAAGACGTACGGCCGGACAGGGGACAGTGATTCCTTCTCGGTACGCTCGGGTGGAGTGGTGACAGTGACGAGACCTTTGGAGTTATTTCGGTGGGTTACTGCAGCAGGCGACATGGACTACGAGGTTGATCCGGCCATAGTGGACCAGTTCATCAGCAACGCCGAAGATGCGGTATAGGCTCTCGAACTGTCGCTCATCCTTTCGGCATAGCCCGCTTTCTTTGCGCATCTCATGCACGCTTACATGGCTATTCGCTGCTTTGATTGAAGGATGGTTACCTTTGTCATCCTCCCCTGCAATCTTCTGCGTTTGCTGCCTAGCAAGGTGCTGGAGCTCCTCTCAATGGCTCTGCATAGAGAGGAAATGGTGGAAAGAGCAGAGGTCGCATTCAAGGTCTCAGCCTTCGTATTGCTTGCAATAATTGCGCTTCTTGCATTTCTCGCATTCCCGGCCTTTCTTCAAGATACTTCACTTCTCCATCCATCAGGGGAGTAAGTAGTTCACACACATTCAATCACACAATCAAGACCACAGCGGAGTAGGAAAGAGACCCAGAATAACCCCAGCAGGACAATCAATACCATGCACACATACATGGGCATCCCATAGGTGCACGACACTTACCTGAGTGGTCTGAGCTTCGAGATGAATAGAACTCACCCCCCTCTCATATGATCCTCCTGACCCCTTTAACGCTACCCCTACACTAGTGTCCTATCTCTTAGGAGGGTCTGACTCCAACACCAAAGTGCAACCCCGAGTCCCCCGCCGATGCTGAAGAACAAAGTAGCAACTTGCAATTTGTAGATGCTGAATGGCCGCTGTCCCTCAAGTTCGACTACTTGAGGGCATCCCTTAAGTTGCCGAGTGTCTCCCTTGAATCAGATTCGAGGTGTGAGTGCCTCTCATTGTCGCCTCTCCCATGTTGCCGCATGAAGTCTCCACGAAATGTCTCACCATTCCAATCTCTCTCTCAAGCAACCTGGTTAGGTTCAATGTCGACCCCACACGACCTAACCAGATGGGGGCAGCTTCCCTTAGCCACGCTGCCCCACTTCCCTTACATCCAACCCTAACCCTAAGTGTTGCCCTCAACCACTTAGGTTAGGGTTAGGGCAGCAAAGTCAACTCTCACCAGCAAGTAGAATCCGCTCTGATACCAATGTTATGATCCTGGCCAATTTTCGAGATACACATCCATCAGATAGTATAATGTCGTCCAATTGCAAAAAAAAATGAATGAACTTGACAGGAGAGAGAAGGTTAGGAGAAGAAGAAGAAGAAAGAAAGAAGAAGAAGAAGAAGATGTACACCAACATAGACAAATGAGAAAGCTCTTCTTCTTCACCAATCACTCTCCTCCTCCTTATCTCCTCCTCTCTTATTCACACGAGAAATAATAATACAACGTTGAATGGCTGAACCAGAATCAATGTTTGAATCCCTCTTCTACTGCAGGTATCACTTGAGGACCACCATAGCCATGGCCGCCTCCCTCGCTCTTCACTNAATGGCTGAACCAGAATCAATGTTTGAATCCCTCTTCTACTGCAGGTATCACTTGAGGACCACCATAGCCATGGCCGCCTCCCTCGCTCTTCACTCTCATAGGCCGAGGTTATGGCGGACTACKAGGCCTTGCCCAGATGCCCAAAGGACAACCCAAAGCAGCTATGGCTGCTCTAGCGCAGGCCGCCATGCCTGACTCTGCCTCGAAGCTTCCTGGTGTAGCTGTACCCCAACTGGGGCCTTCCTGCTGCAGCGCCCACCAAGGTGATAAAGATGGCTGCCACCATAANGACTCTGCCTCGAAGCTTCCTGGTGTAGCTGTACCCCAACTGGGGCCTTCCTGCTGCAGCGCCCACCAAGGTGATAAAGATGGCTGCCACCATAACCAGGTAAGTACCTCTGGCGCTCCTCCCTAGCCCTGCCCTTCTTCCTCCTCCATGTCCTTGCTCCTTCCCCAGCAGCACTGCTGAGTGCTAGCGCTGCTCCAGCCAGCGCTCCAACTAGTGTGTCGCCAAACTTGCACACCGACAATGAGGTTGGGCTCTTCGCCCGGACTGGAGATACAGCGGACTGCTTGCCTCTTGGGCAGCGACTTCCACGCCGCTCGGCCTTCCAAGCAACCGGTACCTATTCCCTTCCGGAGGGAAACATCATTGCAGACTCTGATATTGCCCGTACAGGCCCTAGACTCAGACTGGTTGGACTGGTACCTGCCTAGACCTGGCCTACAACTACTGGGCCTCTAAAAATGCCACTTTTGTCTTCTTCTGTTCGGCCTCGAGTACCCGACACATTTACCTCTTCTGGGTGTGGTACCGGCCTACCTGCTACTTGAGTGTTTCCCCCCTGCAGTCCTCAATGTCAAGGCCAAAGGTAAGTTCCCCCCTGCAGTCCTCAATGTCAAGGCCAAAGGTAAGTACCGGCCCTGAGGGCCCAACAAACGAACAAGTGCCCTTGCGGGTCACACACACACTCAAGCCAGCAAGCACTCAGACAGACATGCAGACCAGCAAGCGTGCACACACAGACTTAGAGAACTTATTAGCAAAAATGGGAAACTCAGCAAGGCATTCGGTCCATGGGCAAAACTCAGAAACCAGCTTTGTGTCTCAGTCAGTGTTTGGTCAGGTCATCACACTAGTATACTACGTGTTGTGAGTCACACACACACTCAAACCAGCATGCACTCAGACAGACATGCAGACCCACAAGCGTGCACACACAGACTTAGAGAACTTAGTAGCAAACGGGAAACTCAGCAAGGCATTCAGTCCATGGGCAAAACTCAGAAATCAGCTTTGTGTCTCAGTCCGTGTTTGGTCAGGTCATCACACTAGTATACCACGTGCTGTGAGTCAGTAGTTGGGCACCCGGCATTATACAGGAGAGAGCGACATCGGAGACACCGTTGGCGGAGGAGAGATGCGGGCTGACATTGACAACTGAGTTAATTGCTCTTCTCTTATTTGGCGCGTAACTTGGTTCATTCTGCTTTCTGTTCGACACACGACTACCTGGCTTGCAATGTGATGATGAAACTTGGTTTCTGTCATTTGCTCTCACTTATTTTCCTTGTGCATCCCCCCTCCCCCCCTTCCCCCCMCCCACCCACAAAAAAAAAAAAACAAAAAAAAAACTGATCTCCAAAATCATTCAATAAGCTGAGATAAAGATCAGAAGTCTAGGATTTCACCATACATACAATGCATTGAGAACTAAAAAAATAAGAAAAAAATAAGAAAAAAATAAAAGAACTCACCGATTCCAGTCCTCTCAGCTCCTCGTACTCCTTTTGCAAGCACAATTTCACTTTTTCCTCTGTCTTCAAGCTTGCACTCAATCGCTCTATCACAATGGCCAGGTTGCTAGCCTCACTCTCCAAGCGTTTGAGCTGCTTCGTCTCGTGATTGATGCGGTCCAAATTCTCTTTATCCTCTCTGCTCCTGTCGTCCACAGTCTTCTCCCACTCAGCCAATTGCCGCTGTGCGTCTGCCAACTGCTCAGAGCAGTGGTGCAGCTGTGCAGAAATGTCTGCAGATCGAAGCAACTGCTCCTCGGCACATAGTTGTCTCTCCTCGTCCTTTCCCTTTTCAATTTCCCAGATCAAGGCCTCAATCTCCGTTTGCAATCTAGTCTCCTTCTCCTTTGCATCTGATAAAAGCGCCCCTAGCCTCGATCTCACTTTGGACGACGATGACAACGACAACGACGACGACTGAGATAATGGTCCCGCCAAATCTGTTTGGTCATTTGCCGCTCCTCTCTCCGACTCTGAGGTGCTCTTTGCTAGCTTGCGATAGGCATCTTTGTCGTCATTTTTGCACCTGATGGTCTCCACTAACTGTTTCATCGTGTTTTCACAAGTTTCCAGGCGAAGCTGCTGACGTCGAACCTCTGTCGATAGGCTCTGCACCTGCGGGGGACAAGCTCGTACAATGCGGCGGTATCCCCAGTCCAAAATTGCAAACATGTTAATCGAAAAGATGAAGACATGGTGCACATACACGAGAAAACAATTTGAGTGCGACCCTGCCAACCACATCAC